GTACATAAACTGAGCAACAGTTGATAAAACACTAATTCAATCATTATTTATAAATTTAATTTCCATTTAAAAAAATCAAAGCATTTGTCTTTATTTTGTTTATAAATTAAATATTTTAATAAAAAAATGTGAGAAATTACTCCCTTTTTCAATAATTTATGAAAGCATTTCTGCATTGAATTAAAAAATTCTGTTCGCGTTTTATTGTCACCAAAGCATCAGTTAAGAGAAATTGGGATTAAGTTTTTAATAGCAGTTCTCAGTCTCTGTCTCCCTCTCAGTGCCCAAACATTTGTATCACTAATTGTTGCCTGAAATGCAATCACGGATTCATAAATTAAATTAATCATTCAATTTAAACATTTTTATTATAAAAATTATTTTATTCTAATTTGGAAATTAATGATAAGTTTTACTCAATTTAAAAACATGAAAAAGAAGGCAAAAACTAATTTAGTATAAAAACTGAAAATCATTATTCAATCAATCATTTAAAATATATTGAATTGTATTTCATTCACTAGTATTTATTGTTGTTTACATTCGGGCGGTTTGTCTCCACTATTGGCCGCTTTGTTCTTATGAGAGGCGGCTGTCGGAGGATTCTTACCTCCTTTCCCTTTGCCCGGACTCTTAGCCGGAGAGTAGTCCTCATCGGCGTCCGAGTCCTCGTCGGAATCTTCCTCTTCGTCGTCCTCCTCATCCTCTTCGTCGTAGTCTTCGTCCACATCCAGCGCTTCGCCGGTGAAGAATAGGACAGCTCTGGGAATGATTGACTGCCGCAACAGTTCTCCCATTTCCCAATCGGCCTGAAGTAAGTCATGGGTGTCGTCATCCAAATCGTCCAACTTTTCCGGCACTAAACCACAAACACATTCACATTATGTCAATCATAGCGACAATTATCACACTAACAATGGCTAACCTTCGGGCGGATCGAAGAAATTGAAAAACGAGTCATTCTTCACAGTTTTGGTGACAGTCCTCACCTGTCCTTTCGATTTATGTCTTTGTTTCTTAGTTACAGTCTTTTCGGTCACATTCTTGCCTTTCTTCCACTCTATTTTACAACTGTTTACAAATCAATTAAACAATAGGACAGACAATAGAGGCAACAGATGTCATACCCTTTACACTTGACAATAGAGATGCCGTCATAAGAGAAGGGGTCCTCATCGTCGGGACCACATCTCAGGTCATATTCTTTGGTTAGAATTTCATTACTGAAGAATTCATTGGGACTGAAGACAAACTCGAGTTTAAAGCCCTAAACAAAACAACAAAAAATGAGTCAAAAACTAAATAAGACTAACGAGTGAATGAATGATACCTCCGGTTCCCTAATAAGCGTAACGCGAATGTCAATCAAGTGCTGAAGAATGGGTTCGTCGTGTTCCTGAATATTCTCAGCAAAAATGTCCACATTTTTCAATATTGTTAACCAGAACTCAGGGATCCCTTTGATATCCTTATCCTCCTCTTTCTCCACGGGTTTCTCCGCCTTCTTCTCTCCCTCTTCTTCTTCTTCGTCCTCCGAATCCGAGGGATAATTGCATTCCTCTTCGTTCGGTTCGTAGACTCCGTTCACGATATCATTCCTCTTATCGAAGATTGGTTTGTATTTCACTTCGTATTTGGTCTCCAAGTCGTGTAACTCTTTGTAGAATTGGGTCTGAATTTTGATTTTATTCAACTCTAAGTTCTTCAGCGCCTTTACTCTTCGCTTCACAATCATAAGATTGGTTTGTATTTCACTTCGTATTTGGTCTCCAAGTCGTGTAACTCTTTGTAGAATTGGGTCTGAATTTTGATTTTATTCAACTCTAAGTTCTTCAGCGCCTTTACTCTTCGCTTCACAATCACTGGCAAAGTGTCGTAATAACCCGACGGCAGGCCAACCATTCCGGCCAACTTCGACTGCATCGCAGCCAACACTTCCGGATTGTTCATCACTTGTGCGGTCAGAGCGCCCACTAAGACAAACAATGAATGGATCAGACAATGAGTGATGTGAAGGACAACGCGTAATATATGACATGACACGCGGTTTCAAACTTACATTTCTTTTCGTCGAGATCTCCGGCCTCGACATCGATGGCAGTCGTGTTTTCAACGATTTGTCCCCTAATTAACAGACAATGCAATCAATTATCGCTCAAAACTTAAGACTCGCTTTCAGTACTCACTTTGAATTGTCTGCCATTTCTTGACAATTAAGTATCGGTTTCGAGACAAAGGACTAAACGTTTGACTAAATAAACTGCAAAATCAAGACAATAAGGCATACAATTAATACCAATTATCATATCATATGAAAGAATGGCAACGGATTGGCAATGCATGCCATGAATGGCGCCAATCATACCAAACACGTGAATCACTTGATCCAAGACATTAAACACTCACTTCGGGGACCAAACGGCCGGCAAAAGTGCGGCCGAAGTGAGCGATCGTGTCGTGGATTGAGTGAAAACACGTGACAATCAATAGTCACCTCAAGAGATGCCGAAGAAGTGAATGCAATACCTGTTTGTGAATGAATGGGAGACGAGTTGTGAGGAAACGATTGAATGCTTTAACGAAAGCGAGAAAACAGTGTTTGAAAAGCGGAAACCGGATAACGAGTTGCAGACCAATGGTTCACTCAATACACACAACAATAACGTTCACTCACTCTCTATTCACACGTACTTTGCTATGAGAACTGTTCAAACACTTTGCCTTCGATTATCAATTATGTTTGACTGCAACACTCGAGTCTCGACAATGCTTTATGTATTGGTATATAACGTTTACTGCATGTCATGCAGTGAAGCTATTTTAGTTTGTATAGACAATTCATTTGAGTAGACATACAACTATGCATTTGTCTATATGCGGGTCATTTGATAACTTTAATCTAGTTTAACAACTATTTAGATATCAAATTGAATTACTTCTTTAATTATAGAAATGAATACATAATAAGTATAAATCAAGTTATATATTAATTCAATAACTTTATTCATTTATTTAAAAATCTATTATATTATTTGCTGGAAAGTCGCTAATAGTAATAAATATTTGGAAAAAATATCGTAGATTACAATACATTAAACATAAGAACAGATAATAATAATTATACAAAAAATATATTGAATTTAATTGTTAGCAAAAGTAAATTTGAGATTTGTTGGCAATTTCTTTGGCACATAAAACTTCTCCAAATCAATGCTATAGAAGTGGACACTAAGCACACCATTTGAGCGCTTATTAGCCATCGCTTCGACAATAGACCAGAGATGTGCCCAATAGGCCCGACTTCGTGCACCGCTCACATTGAGTGCCACGGATTGGATTTGATCCAAAACTGTGAGACACGCGTAACATATGTGACGATTTGGATTCGAGAGATCAATTGAACGCAGCGTTTGAATGGTTGCCAATCGCGCGAAACACTGACGAATGCATGGCTCGCAGTTCATGCGGCGGTTCGGACAGATGCACATCATGTATGTGTTGAGACACAGGTGCCGCAGCTTCGGTAGCATCGCTGCCCACATCGTTATGCTATACAAATCAATGCCAATGTAGTTCATCGATAGAGTGGTCAGACATTTCATCGGCTGTTTAATGGCCCGAAAGTCGAAACGTCTGTATTCGTAGAAAACAGCAGTCTTCGGCTCCCAGAGACCCGTGAAGTTCAGATTCAATGCTTTCAATTGAGACAATTTGGTGACCGACGACAGCACTAACGGATCCAATGAGAAGTGATTGAATGACAGTCGCTTCAGATCGTGGAGTCGATCGCAGATGAGGACGAATAGATGGTTTTGATTGCAGAGATTTACCACATTTACCAACGGTTGGTATCGAATGACCAGTTTTTGGAGTCGCCGTCCGTTTCCACTGACCAATGCATTCATTTCGTGAAAATCTAATGNTGATACCTCCGGTTCCCTAATAAGCGTAACGCGAATGTCAATCAAGTGCTGAAGAATGGGTTCGTCGTGTTCCTGAATATTCTCAGCAAAAATGTCCACATTTTTCAATATTGTTAACCAGAACTCAGGGATCCCTTTGATATCCTTATCCTCCTCTTTCTCCACGGGTTTCTCCGCCTTCTTCTCTCCCTCTTCTTCTTCTTCGTCCTCCGAATCCGAGGGATAATTGCATTCCTCTTCGTTCGGTTCGTAGACTCCGTTCACGATATCATTCCTCTTATCGAAGATTGGTTTGTATTTCACTTCGTATTTGGTCTCCAAGTCGTGTAACTCTTTGTAGAATTGGGTCTGAATTTTGATTTTATTCAACTCTAAGTTCTTCAGCGCCTTTACTCTTCGCTTCACAATCACTGGCAAAGTGTCGTAATAACCCGACGGCAGGCCAACCATTCCGGCCAACTTCGACTGCATCGCAGCCAACACTTCCGGATTGTTCATCACTTGTGCGGTCAGAGCGCCCACTAAGACAAACAATGAATGGATCAGACAATGAGTGATGTGAAGGACAACGCGTAATATATGACATGACACGCGGTTTCAAACTTACATTTCTTTTCGTCGAGATCTCCGGCCTCGACATCGATGGCAGTCGTGTTTTCAACGATTTGTCCCCTAATTAACAGACAATGCAATCAATTATCGCTCAAAACTTAAGACTCGCTTTCAGTACTCACTTTGAATTGTCTGCCATTTCTTGACAATTAAGTATCGGTTTCGAGACAAAGGACTAAACGTTTGACTAAATAAACTGCAAAATCAAGACAATAAGGCATACAATTAATACCAATTATCATATCATATGAAAGAATGGCAACGGATTGGCAATGCATGCCATGAATGGCGCCAATCATACCAAACACGTGAATCACTTGATCCAAGACATTAAACACTCACTTCGGGGACCAAACGGCCGGCAAAAGTGCGGCCGAAGTGAGCGATCGTGTCGTGGATTGAGTGAAAACACGTGACAATCAATAGTCACCTCAAGAGATGCCGAAGAAGTGAATGCAATACCTGTTTGTGAATGAATGGGAGACGAGTTGTGAGGAAACGATTGAATGCTTTAACGAAAGCGAGAAAACAGTGTTTGAAAAGCGGAAACCGGATAACGAGTTGCAGACCAATGGTTCACTCAATACACACAACAATAACGTTCACTCACTCTCTATTCACACGTACTTTGCTATGAGAACTGTTCAAACACTTTGCCTTCGATTATCAATTATGTTTGACTGCAACACTCGAGTCTCGACAATGCTTTATGTATTGGTATATAACGTTTACTGCATGTCATGCAGTGAAGCTATTTTAGTTTGTATAGACAATTCATTTGAGTAGACATACAACTATGCATTTGTCTATATGCGGGTCATTTGATAACTTTAATCTAGTTTAACAACTATTTAGATATCAAATTGAATTACTTCTTTAATTATAGAAATGAATACATAATAAGTATAAATCAAGTTATATATTAATTCAATAACTTTATTCATTTATTTAAAAATCTATTATATTATTTGCTGGAAAGTCGCTAATAGTAATAAATATTTGGAAAAAATATCGTAGATTACAATACATTAAACATAAGAACAGATAATAATAATTATACAAAAAATATATTGAATTTAATTGTTAGCAAAAGTAAATTTGAGATTTGTTGGCAATTTCTTTGGCACATAAAACTTCTCCAAATCAATGCTATAGAAGTGGACACTAAGCACACCATTTGAGCGCTTATTAGCCATCGCTTCGACAATAGACCAGAGATGTGCCCAATAGGCCCGACTTCGTGCACCGCTCACATTGAGTGCCACGGATTGGATTTGATCCAAAACTGTGAGACACGCGTAACATATGTGACGATTTGGATTCGAGAGATCAATTGAACGCAGCGTTTGAATGGTTGCCAATCGCGCGAAACACTGACGAATGCATGGCTCGCAGTTCATGCGGCGGTTCGGACAGATGCACATCATGTATGTGTTGAGACACAGGTGCCGCAGCTTCGGTAGCATCGCTGCCCACATCGTTATGCTATACAAATCAATGCCAATGTAGTTCATCGATAGAGTGGTCAGACATTTCATCGGCTGTTTAATGGCCCGAAAGTCGAAACGTCTGTATTCGTAGAAAACAGCAGTCTTCGGCTCCCAGAGACCCGTGAAGTTCAGATTCAATGCTTTCAATTGAGACAATTTGGTGACCGACGACAGCACTAACGGATCCAATGAGAAGTGATTGAATGACAGTCGCTTCAGATCGTGGAGTCGATCGCAGATGAGGACGAATAGATGGTTTTGATTGCAGAGATTTACCACATTTACCAACGGTTGGTATCGAATGACCAGTTTTTGGAGTCGCCGTCCGTTTCCACTGACCAATGCATTCATTTCGTGAAAATCTAATGGTTTGCAGTCTTTCAGCTCAAGTGTCACCACATTTGGTCCCAAACTATCAAACACTTGCTCCAGATGTCGTCGCGGAGACACTATCGTCAGCTCTCGCAGTCCCACCGCTTTTGAGA